ACACCCAGGCCGCGCCGGGGCCTCACCTGCCGGGCCCGGGACGCCCCTGGCAGCGAGGGGCACAAGGCCAGAGCAAAGAAAACACAGCCAGCCTCTCCGGCGACCCCATGTGGGCGGGCCGTGCTGGGCGTCGTCCTGCCTGACGGCACGAAGCCCCTGTAACGTGGTGACCCAGGCACAAAATCCATCTCCGTTCTGTGGGTTCAGATACTGAGGCTCAGGGACAGCAGCGGGGCCGCGGCAGTGGGGACCCGCTGGGAAAGAGGGCAGGGAGCAGAGGAGCACAGCCATGCTGCGGGCCACCAACCCCGGCCGAGGGGCAGCAGGGCCGTGGAGTCTGGGGGCCGAGGCAGGAAGTGGCCGCCGTGGGTGCTGGACCCCGGAAGGCAAGGTGACCCCAGAGAGGGACAGGCTGCCAGCTGCGTTTGCTTGGCTTCTACGTGGACCGACAGAGCCTCGGAATCCCCATCTGTTCTCTTCCCTCCACAGCTCAGTGCCCCCCGGCCGAAGCCTAGGTCAGGGCCACCGAGGCTTCCTGCCCGGCCCCCCTGCCCCCTGCCCTCGCCTCCCGCCCCTCCCCCTGTCTCGCTTGCCCTGGGGCCTCCCGAATCCCTGTGCTCCTGGGGCAGCGCCTCCAGCCTGGGCCTGGCCCCCACCTTGACCCCTTCCTAGCCCCTCCGAGCAGGGCTCGGGCGTGAGAACCCTCAGGGTGGCCAGGAGGGGACAGGCGGCACCCGGGGTCTAGACCACAGCGAGCACAGCACTGCAGCCTGGCGGATGGGGCCACGCATGGCGTCCTTGAGGGACATGACCCTGCGAGGGGCAGGGCTGCACCCCCTTGACCTGCTTCCGCCCCCCGGGGCCTGCTGGGATGACTCCAGAGAGGTGCTGTGGGCTCCGTGACCCGATGCAACGCGTCCCCGCCCAGGTCAGAGGGCGTGAGTGAGCACGGCACCAGCCCACACCCCCAGAGGAGCCAGGTCAATGCCAGCACCAGCTCCTGAAAGTCAAGGGCGCTACGAGGGCAGTGGCTGGACCCGCCTCTGCCCAGGTGAGCCAGGCGCCGCCCACTGCAGGGCAGGTTCTCAGGAAACTGGGTCGGGGCCTCCATACTTCGCGTCTGGAAATGCCAGAGACGGGCATGACTGGCTCCCGCCCCGATACGCCCTGGGCAGAGACGGGGCCTCCTGGAAGCCCTCACCTCTCAGCAAGGCCAAAGCCATGAGGCCGGCACGAGGGCCAGCCACCTGTGCCGATCGCTAGCTGCGGCTCCTTCAGCCGCGGGAGGCGAACAGGTGTGCAGACACGACGCTTCCCTGCGGGCCAGAAAACCTAACTCGAGAAACAGAATGGACACGGTGTACTGACGGGGTAATGCTCATTCGGTGAGAAATCTCCAGAATGCATGGGGAGAAAAGGTTTTTTAAATCCTTACTCTGGGACACTGAAAAATGACTTGAATAAATGGATATGGGATATTCCTGCATAGTCTTCACCATCACAAATGTTTAATAATCCTCAAATTAACCCGCCCATCTGAGCCACTGAGTCAACGTTCGGCTGGGATCTTGACACCAAACTGCAAACCGGAATCTAAAAGGAACAGAAGTTTTGAAATGTTTTAGAGAAAAGTCATGCAAATACCATGTTGTTGTAACGCACACAAATGTGCGACGATTACAATTGTGGGGAGCTGGCTCAGGGACAGGCAGGAAGGTCAAGAAATGAACCCTAGCAAGTATAACAACTCGATGCGGTGTACAAACAGCTGTCTTATAGGGCATTCTTTATTCGATGAATAGTGTGTGTGTGTGGGGGGGGGGGGGGAATGGCCAGATATTTAGAGGAAAAAAGTAACTTTCGGTATCTAACTCCTTGCTTTATCTCAAATTAATTGTTTTTTAAAAAATATTTTTATTTGGGGCGCCTGGGTGGCTTAGTCGGTTAAGCGTCCGACTTTCGCTTAGGTCATGATCTCGCGGTTCTTGGGTTCGAGCCCCGCGTCGGGCTCTGTGCTGCCTGCCAGCTCGGAGCCTGGAGCCTGTTTCAGTCTGTGACTCTCTCTCTCTCTGACCCTCCCTTGCTCACGCTGTCTCTCTCTCTCCTAGAAATAAATAAAACATTTAATAAATAAATAAATAAATAAATAAATAAATAAAAATAAAAATATTTTTATTTATTTCTAGGAGAGAGAGAGAGACAGCGTGAGCAGGGGAGGGTCAGAGAGAGAGGGAGTCGCAGACTCTCAAATAGGCTCCAGGCTCCGAGCTGGCAGTCAGCACAGAGCCCGACGCGGGGCTCGAACCCACGAACCGCGAGATCATGACCTATGCGAAAGTCGGACGCTTAACCGACTAAGCCACCCAGGCGTCCCTCAAATTAATTCTTGACTAACTCCAAATAAGCAAGAAACCTTGAAAGTTCTACTCTCTGTGTAATGGGATGGGCTCCAACCCCACGGAAGGGATGGGATGGGCTCCGACCCCACGAATATTAAGGGAAAAGATGGTAAATACATTTTCAGTGCATCAAAACCATCCTCGCCAAGATTACGAATAAGCCTGAACTCAACAGCATCGACAATCTCGATAAACGTTCACGTCACAGCTGTGAAGATATGTCCAAGCCCATGACAAGGGCCTGTGTGCGAGCAAAGTGAGCAAACGCACAAGCGGGTCCTTTGTGCGCACACGAATCAGACAGCTGGTCCCTGTGGTGTAAAAGGGGCTCTGACATCATCCGTGATCCCAGAAAAAGAGACGCTATTTTTACTTACCAGATGGGCAAGACCCCATTTTGTCCCCAGCCCCGTCAGCGCCCGCCGCGGCTGGGAGGGACGGCCTGGAGGGCTGCTCGGGCGGACCCCGCTTTCCTGGCCCGTGGACACACTTGTTCTGGGGCCTGAAACTTCCAGACGTGAGTGCGCTCACCTGGCCTCGTCCCGAAGAAGCCACGGCACTCACGGCACCCCCTTCCCAATGCCGTGATTTTGTGGGAGGTGGAAGGTTAGAGCCCTCGGATAAGACCCCGGGCTTCGCCCACCGTCCGGGGAGACGCTTCTGTTCTGTGCGTCAAGCACGGCGCCCCCTCCAGGCCGGGCCGGAGACCCTAATCCTCAGCACTGTGCTCACAGGATGTCTCTTTTCTCCGAGTTTTGTGTGAGAGCCCCTCTGTGAAACCTGGGAGTGGATGTCCCAGAACGTGGCAGCATCCTTTCGTCAAAGAAGCCGGCTGCCTAAATCAGTGGGATCCTCCGCCTGGGTCCTACCCTACAGATGGGATGGGACAGACGTGGCCTTTACGGAAAGCTTCGTGGCGAATGGCATCCGGATGGGGGTGGCGGAACGCGGTCAAAGGGCACGGGGCTTGGCCCCAGGTCGGCCCGGGGACAAGCATGCAGCCTCGTGCCTGCCTTCCCGGCCCCCAGCTTCTACTCCGGGGACTGATGGCCCGTGCCCCTTAGGATTCGGTGTTTTAGCTGCCGTTGGGGGGGTTCACGTACGGCTCGCTCGGGAGGCCGTCACATGGGCCCAGGACACGCATCCCGCACGTCCTGGGGGCTGGAGTCCGAGATCAGGGCGGGGCTGCCACCTCCCGAGGCCGCTCCCCCCCCCCCGACCCCTGTTGTGCAGACGGCCGTCTTCTCCTGTGTCCCCACATGGTCGTCCCTCTGTGTGTGTGTGTCCTGATCTCCTGTCTGGGAAGGTCGCCTGTCCCGGTGGGTCAGGGCCCATCTGGTGGCTTCACTGTAACTTAATCACCTCTGCAAAGACCTCGTCTCCAGGTACTCCCGTGCTGGGTGCTGGGTGCTGAGTGCTGAGTGCCGGGTGTGGGGTCAGGGCCTCCACTTGCTAACTGGGGGACACAATTCAGGCATGGCACTGACCAACCCTCTTTATCGTCCCATAAAGAGAAACTTCGGGCCCTCCAGCCCTCGCAGGGGCTCTGAGCCCTCCCTGCCCTAAACACGCAGTGCCCTCCTCCATGGCGGCGTGCGTCTCCCACGGGAGCTCCCCTCCAGAGCCACCCACACCCACGTCCCCCTCCACGCCCACCTCCCCCTACACCCCCACGCCCCCCTCTACGTCCCACACCGTCCCCCTCCTCACGTTCAGCACTTCTGGCAGGAGAAATGCTGACCGGCTCTGCCACGCTGCTCGGGACTCAGCTGTGTCTGGAACTACTTCCCGTCCCTCGTCGCACCTGGCGGGGTGCCTTTACCACGGCGCTCGCTACCTACCTTTTTTAAATGAATAAATACGCTTACAGCTTTAGCAAATGAACTTGGTATCTCTCTTTGTAATGACAAAAGAAAGCCATGTACTTGGTAGGAAGCTCTAGCCACCCGTGTCCGTCACGCACTGGACAGAGCCTATTCGCGGGGAACAGAGCGACACACACCCAGGACCGAGGCACGGACGCATTCTGTGCGCTGATGAACGCTTTTTCCCCTTTATTTCAACCCTTTGCCCTTTGTGTGTGTATGTCTTTTCTAGACTACAATCTTTCTCCATGAAAAAGATCACCTTAGGGCGCCTGTGTGGCTCAGTCAGTTAAGCGTCTGACTCTGGATTTTGGTTCAGGTCATGAACTTGCGTTTGTGAGTTCGAGCCCCCATCAGGCTGTGTGCTGATGGTGTGGAGCCTGCTTGGGATTCTCTCTCTCCCTCTCTCTCTGCCCCTCCCCAGACTTCTACTTTTTGTCTCTCTCGAAATAAATAAACAGTAAAACAATAAAAAAGTTAAAATTAAGTCATTTTATGCCTCAGAAATGATGCCCGGGCTCTCTACAGTATATGGGGCCCAGCATCACTGTGCGTAAACGTTAAATAGTCGTTTTTATTCTTTCTCTTGCACGGACCTAATGGACAGTTCCGAGCCACAAGGAGAAACAGTCCCCTGGGTGGCGTGCGCGCCAGCCCCCGAAGCCAGGAGAGCGCGGGGACGGCCCTGTGTCCTTGGGAACCTGCCTCCCGGCCGCTAGTAGGAGGAGCAGGTGGGTCAGAAGTGCCTCCGGGAGAGCCACACAGCCTTGACCGACCGGACCTGCGCGGGGGCTGCAGCGCCGCCTCCCAGCTGTATTCTGGAGATAGCAGCTTGGCGGGCTTGTGCGTGAAAAAGTACTTGTTTAGGTGTCTTTCGTAGGTGCTGTGCAGCCCCTTCCTCTCATCGTGAACGACCCCTTTCAGATACTCTTCTATGAGGGTTGAGACCTCCAGGGGCGCGCCGCCGATCACCGAGCCGTCGTAGTAGAAGCCCCCCTGTCCAAAGGGGATGTATGCGGCCGACATGGGCCTCCTCTCGTAAGGGATGTCCTTGTTTTTAAAGTACCACCAGGCATGGAGCTGAGCCACGGACGTGACCAGCGTCTCCACCCCGAAGTCGTTCTGGAAGAGCCTGTTGGCGCTCATGCTGAACAGGAAGTCCACTTCGTCCTCAATATGCCCCAGGATGTGCTCAGCCAGGGTCCGCATGCGTGTGACGTGCGAGTCACCCCAGCTGTCTCCTTGGATGGTGAGGACCTTGAATGTTCGGAGGGGATCTGGCTCCAGGTCCGGCAGCCTGGACAAGGCGTCCACCATGATGTAGAAGACCACCCTGTAGCCGGTCATGAAGTGCTTATTCGCCGATCGAATGAACGGCTCCAGGTACCGATCCGCAGTCCTGCAAAACACACACACGCAGAGAAAGACGCTCCCCAAACGCTTGCGAGAGAGGAATGCGCGTCGCCAGATGTGTCGTCTAACTTAGGAGTCACCAATGCTACGGGACCCCCGACAGGTGACGGTAGACAGGCCCGTTTACAGTGTCAACAGCACCGGTCAGTGAGGACAGAGTGAACCACAGGGTCTGAGAAAAGCCCTTAAAGTTTTGGAAGGATCGTTGGGAAGAAAGAAGACGTGGGCTCAGTGGTATCTGTAAAACGACGTCCAAGTGGCCTTAACGACCCAGCCGAGGAAGGCGTTCTTGTTCCCACTCAGGACAGCCGCATGGGGTAGTGATGGGGGGCTCCGGGCAGCCTTTTGGAGGTAGAAGGTCCCTGGGTGCTCATTCAGATTTTTTCCGGAATAAAACAGGGCAAACCTAGTGGCCCCTACCTGCCAGTGGCGAGGACGGCCAGGCCTATGGTGAGGTTCTGTCTCCTTTAGAACCTCCCCAGGACCTGTCTGTGGAAAGTGGCTTCCCATATGACCGGGGCCAGCCAGTCTGTGGTTGTCACAACATCGGGGCGTTTCCTGTTCACAAACAAGAAGCAAGTGACACGGGTGCTGCAGCAGAGGCCGTCCAGGCGACACCAGCTGACGCCTACAGAGCCCTTGCTACGTGCTGGCCACTGTGTGGACGTGGCCGAGGCCGCTCGTTCCATCCCGGCGGTGGCCTAAGCGGTAAGCGCGTCATGGCCCTTGTTCTTCGTGTGCAGAAACAGAGACACGGATTGACTGAGCAGCTGCCTTACCCTCCGAGCTGACACACGTGGGGCAGTTCGAAAGTCCCAGCAATTGCTGCTTTCGTCACCACACCACCTGCCCTTGAGCCCAGGGGCTCCCTTCTCTGAGCTCCGGCTCAGCTGAAATGCAGGCGGCCGGGAGTCAGAACGTTCTCCGATATCACCCGAAGCCGGGGCTGCAGGCACAGTCAGGACCTCCGTCCCTACACCTCCCAAAGGCCTTTGTTTCCCCTCCCGCCTCTTTTTCTCTCCCCCCACTTTTCACTAGAAGATCCAGAAGGCGCTTTCCCTAAACTCTCCCTCTTGCGTTAGGTCCATCAGTGTAATTGGGCAGAAACAAAAAGTCTAAAAAGAAGAGAGAGATTAGATTTGCTTTCAATAGCAACAGGACTTAAAGCCTGCAGCGCTGGCTCAACATGTGAAAATCACTTGATGCACCAACCATAGCAGGAAATTAAAGAACAGTCAGATGCCTGTATTAGTTGACACAGAAAAATACATTATACAAAGTCCAACACCCACTCATGATGAAAATTAAAAAAGAAATTAAAAACTCCCAGAAAAAATAGAAATAGAGAAGAGTTACCTTAACTCAATAAAGAGCACCTACAAAAACCCTCTGGCTAACATCATACTCAATGGTGAATGGCTGAACGTTTTCTTGCTAAAATTGGGAACAAGGCAGGGAAGCTCACTCTCTCCAACTCATAGTCAGCAGAGTATTGTGAATTCCAGCCATTGCAATAAGGTAAGAAAAAGAAATAAAAGCACCAGGCTAGGAAGGAGAGAATGATAATGTCCCCATATGCAGATGATTTGTTTACACATAAAATCCTACAAAATCTACCCAAAAAATCTCCTAGAATAAGGGAATTCAGCACGGTTACAGGACACAAGTTCAGCACACACACAAAATTAATCCGTTTCCACACTAACAAGGAACATGCAGAAACTAAAATTAAAAACACAACGTTATTTACAGTTGCCTCCGAGAAGATGAAATATTTTGATACACCCACCAGAAGTCCCTGCCCATTCCCCTCTTGCCGCAATGCCCGCAACAATGAGTCTACTTTCTGTCCGTGTAGACTTGCTTATCTGGGAATTTCATACAAGTGGGATCATGCCGTGTGTGGTGTCTGGTGCCTGGCTTCCTTCACTCGGCCCGCTCGCAGGGAGGCTCTCTATTGTAGATTCTGGGTATTTAGCTGAATCAGTAGTTCATTTCTTTTGTGGCTAAATAATATTCTATGGTATGGATTTTGCTTATTCATTCATCAGTCGATGGACATTTTAGTTGTTTATGTTTTTCAGAGATTATCAACAGTACTGCTGTGAACATTTCTATGCAAGATTTTCTGTAGACATATTTGTTTAATTCTCTTGGGTGTGCACCTAGAGGTGAAATTTCTCGGTCATGTTGTAATTTCACAGCTAATGCTTTGAAGAACTGACGAAGGTTTCCAAGCAGCTGCGCCGTTGTACATTCCCACCAGTCGTTTGTAAGAGTTCAAAATCCACTGCATTCTCGCCAGCATCTCTGTGGTCTTTCTGAGTCTAGTCATCTTACAGCCTTTACACATCGTAGGGTGAGAAGTGGTAGCTCATCGTGACCTGGGTTTGTGTGTCCCAGATAACTAACAATGTTGAGGATCTTTTCATGGGTTTATTAACCACATATTTGAAGTAGCTGATTTAAGCTTTTGGGCAACAAAAGCAAAAATAAACAGTTGGGACTACATCAAACTAAAAAGCTCTGGCACTAAAAAGGAAACCATCCACAAGATAAAAAGTCAACCTACTGAATGGGAGGGGGTATTTGCAAATGACATGCCTGATAAGGGATTAATGTCCAAAATGGTTTTTAAAACCTATACAACTCAGCACCAAAAAAAAAATCCAGTTGAGAAATAGAGGGGCACCTGAGTGGCTCAGTCGATTGAGCGTCCGCTTCCTGATTTTGGCTCAGATCATGACCCCAGGGTCATGGGATTGAGTCCCACATCAGGTTCCGTGCTGGGCGTGGAGGCTGCTTACGATTCCGTCTGCCTCTCTTTCTGCCCCTCTGGGCCTGTGTCCCACTTGTGCTCTCTCTCTCTGCCCCCCCCCTAAAAAAAAGGGCGGATGAGAGCACCTGACTTGCTCAGTCGGTACAGCATGTGATTCTTGATCTCAGGGTTGTGAGCTGGAGTTGGTGTGGAGTTCACTTAACAATAAAATCTTTAAAAATAATAGTAATAAAATAATTTTAAGAATAGACAGATGACCTGAACAGACAGTGCTCCAAAGGAGACATCCAGGTGGCTGCCAGACGTATGAAAAGATGCTCAACATCACTCACTCATCACGAGGGAAACGCAGACCAAAACTACAATGAGGCGCCACCTCACGCCTGTCAGAATGGCCAGTATCCGACAGACAAGAGATAACACGGGTGGGCGGGGCCGTGGACAAAGGGAGCCCCCCTGCCCGGGCGGTGGGCACGCAAACTGGTGCAGCTGCTGCGGAAAACGGTATGGAGGTTCCTCAAAATTCTTTAATGTTTTTTTTTTTTTTTTTTTTTTTTTTTATTTCTAGGAGAGAGAGA